ACACAGCACGCTTCACAGCCGTCTACGAGTGACCCAGAACATCTGAACGGAAGCTCACTCCAAAAAGACTCCACTGATGCACGCGGTAAATACGGATGTCGCCCTTTTCAAAGGCTCGCAGGCTGTAGTTTGAGAACACAGTGTGTTTGCTCCCCAAAACCCGTTGGAGTTCTGGAAGTGATGTTTTGATGAATCTATAGCCACTTTGGAGAGTTTTTAAGCTTCAGATAAACCATACATACAAATAACATCCGAGAGCCCAAGGTATCTCGCAACATGTTCAACCTCCCTTTTACTCTACTCAGCCAAGCATTCGGAGCCTTAAGCAAGCATAGTCTTTCCCCCCCAGCAGCTTCAGTTGATGTCAAAATGCGGTTGCAAATGCCGTTTTCAAAATGCCAAGTACATCTACGTCTATACCCCTATGCAGTAACCGTACTGGGCTCATGTCATGCTGGACAGGTACGGTAACACAGAACACGCTCCTGCGGAGGCCGTTGGTGGGGTTCACCTCCACTCCCCACCTGAAGGGATCTGCTCTGCTGGTTTGGGCGCTTCTGACGCGCAGCAGGAGAGGACGCGGCCCATGGCCTCGGCCGAAATGAAACAAACTGCTCGAGCTGGTCGAGCCGGACTCGTGTTTAAAGCAGAAAAACGGTGTTTTCTTGGAAGATGCGCCTGGATTTAATATCTCTTGGAACGGCATCCCGGCCCTGGAAGCAAAGCTTGGTGGCTTGGTGTATAAAATTTAAACATGCTGGATCTTGGAGGATCCTTGCACCTGTCAAAGGCAAGTACAAAGACTGACAAAGCATATCTGACACCTGAACATATGTTGTATTTACGAAGTGCATATGATATATATATATACTTATATAATCTTATATATATAGCGGTATACTGGACATATCGAGTAACACAAACGATGGCAAGAAAAAACACAACATCAAAAATTTATACACATGTCATTACCATTAAAATAACAGGATGAACAAATAAGAAGCTACTAGGAGCAAGGGCATCGCTACTAGGGGCTCCTGGCCTTACTACTAGGAGCAGAAGCTATTAGGGGCTCCTGGGACACCATGGGGCAGCTCGTCAAAAGCTCCAGTGGCCACTGTCAGAAGACAATCAGATCTCAGGCTCCGGCAAAGGTCAGGCTTCGCCATGAGCAAAGCTGGTGAATTCCCAACGGTCGAAGTCAATGTTTTACACGAAACGTCTATTGTTTCCACAAATGGCTTGTGAAGCTTGGGGTGAATTGATGGAACCACTCGGGCACCGGGGATGGGATCCCGAGTCTGTCCTCTTGGAATGGGGAAGGAGCTGGATTCAGCTGAATTAACTTGAGGCTTCACCTACCTCTGTGAGCTTGATTATAATCTATATGTGGCACATTTGATGTTTTTTTTCAACCAATAGCTATTATATATTGTAATATATCAACATATAGCTATTATATGTTATTATATATTATGAATATAGTTGTTAGCACCACATCTTGCACCGTCCTACGATGGTCCGCCCTACTTCCGGCGAGCGATGGTCGCCGCAAGCAATCCGAGCCGCAAAGGTACAGCAATCGATTCGTTTCGCACATCGACAGCTCCTCTTCATGCGGCTCAACGCAACGCCTGCTCTCATGATGTTGAAAGTGGAACAGTCGTCATAATTCAATATATAATTCAATGCATCAAGGATAGCTCTATAGTTGCTCTCTAATGATCACACTGAAGCTCACTGTTCCATTGCGAACAGAGTGGATCCACACGTTCCGCGCTGAAAGAGCCGACCCTCAGAAACTACCAGGACCAACGGGTGCTGAGCACGTCTTTTTTCGGGATATAACTGCGAAAGCGGTGCTGGCGCGAACGGGTGTCTCTTTGGTCGAAACGGGATCTAAAAGTCGGGAGTGTTTCACCTGGGTCGGTGGACGCGATGGACCCATGATCGCTGCTTCGGAAACTCGCATTTCGAAAGCTGGACCTTTCGCCCCTGGCTGCGAGGACCATCATACCGATGATTGGCGACAGGGGCAGCTTTTGTCCCCTCCACATGCGACCCTCGTTAATGTACTCTTAAAGAAACACAGCCGGACCAGAGCGATAAACAATATAGTTGGATCTGTTGAACAACATGTGATGGAGCAAGGGGAGTCATATGCCTATGTCATATATGCCTTATTCTTTGTGCCAGGAAGAATGTCGAGAAGGGAGCGGAGCTTTGTGCGGTCTCATATGTGGTTTGTGTGTGTGGCTTTGTCGAACCAGAATGCCAACTTTGGTGCTGTTATTTTTTCGGGGGCTGTATACTATATGACTATATGCATCAAGGGGCCAAAACTGAACATATGTTTGGAATGAATCGGCTGCGTGACCTAATCGGCTGCATGACCACGCTTCTCTTGCCATCCCGCGTCAAATCAGTCAGTTCAGCCTTAAAAATTGACCTGTTCCTATCCACCTCTCTGGGAGGCTGAGCATCCCGTCCACCAACTCGGCAAAAACCTAGCAAAAATCTCAAAAGCTATGTCCACTGGAGAAGACGTCGATTCAAAATCACAAAGACAAAGTGAACACTTTCGAAAGTTGACCTTGTAAATTGATCCACAAAATGTTATCATATGTTATCCTACCGACATGCGAAGAAATGTAGCACAAACACCGGTGGAAAAAACGGTGGATATGTTCATTGGATGTTAATTGATTCATGAAGCATGAAACACGTAATATTGGCTCAACCCGACTGCCCGTGCTTACCCAGCAACTGCCAAGCAAGGTCTTCTTTCCCACATATGAAAAATGTGTGTCGGACACAATGAAAGCTTCTACACAGGGACCTCCAGACTCATGCGTAGATACACAGCTGTATCACAGCAGTATGGATGTGGTTACCTACTATAATATATACTGAGTGAATGTGAGTGATAGACCTCTCTTAGCTCTGATCAAAACAAGCTCGCAGTTGGGAACATGAAACAACATGGAGGAAACCGTGCAAAAACATATCGAACAATATCTTCACATCAAAAATAATATATACCTAGACCCCGCAAAACATTTTTTTTGCCCGGTGGAGCAATTTTCAGTCAAAGCAAAAAAACAACACAAGCAGATTTGGTGTCGATACATCAACGCTCCAACATCTTCAATTGCTTTCGAGAAGGATGAAAGAGACGCTCCTCCAACGGCCGGGACAGGGTTTGCGGGACCCTTGGACGCCCGATGGTAGAATTTGGCGTCAAAGAAGAAAACAGCGGAGTGCCTGACTGAGGGGGCGCCACGAACTGCCATGATGACATAGCTGCATAGTTTGAATGAAGGTGTTCAAACTTTTGGCAGCTGCCTAAATGTCGTAGGTGTTTCTTACACCCCTGCCTTCGTGCCCCTGACTACCAGAATGGCGGCTTACGCGCGCAGTTCTTACATTGATGGGCTTACGCAACACTTGGGCCAAGGAATTTTAGCACCACAGCCACGGCTTATGCACGCTCTGTTTCTTAATAAGGGCACACACCGCGGTTCAAGTAAAAGTGTCTGGCAGAAAGGAACGGCGCGTGCCAAACGCTGACTCCAACAGATCTGATACATGCGCGGCAGCTGGGCAGTGAGCAGCAAAGTGTTCGTTAATGGTTTGGAACAATGAGTTGCAATTCGCGTCATCGAAGTTCAGAAAACAGTTGTTTGGGAGGCATTGTGGGCCACGGTCTTCAAAAACAAAACAGGCTTACGCAGAACTTACGCGGCACTTATGCAGATTTCGACACCAAAACCCTAATTTATTTGGTCGTGGTCTGTACATGTTTTGTTCTGTCGATGTCCAAGCAGCGTGAGAAACACCCTGCATTTCAATGGTGTATGAAACCGATATAAAAATGACTCCGTGCTGAAATTTGGGTTTGGTTTACGGAGTTTACGCAACTCCTATCTCCCATAAACAAGTGCAACCTTGCCCACACCAAAGTTTTGTTTAGGCAAACAATTCATATGACACGTCCACCAATAAACATGGAGTTATTTATGGACTTGTTTAATTGGATCATGAAGTAAATGGGGAGTATTTGAAGAAAACCTTGCTGGGAATATAGAAATTTCAGGACTCTCTTGAACAATTAGACAATGGAAATAACCAGAATTAAGGTGGCTTATAGTACGGGAAACTATTATAGAAAATATAAAAACAAATTTTCAAATAGAAGGCTGCATATTCCTCCCGTAGCAGGGTTCCGCGACAAATAGAAGAAATATGTCAAGATAACGGGTTGATAAACGTGCTCACCAACAGGTCTTCAAATAGAAGAAAATATTTTTTTTGGCACAAAATACGCATGAACCGCCCGCTCTCTTTCCCTTGCTCTCTCACTCTTTCTCGCTCTCTCTCTCTCTCTCTCTCCCTCGGAGAAGAACAGAAACGCAACATAAATACACCCGCTAGGTAAACCAAGTAGTTTCTCTTCTGCCTTCTGTTTGGCCTTCCTACCTCCTTCCTCTGCCCCTTCCCTTTCCACCTTTCCTTCCTTCTCTTTACCTTTACCTTCCTTTCCTTTACCTCCTTCCTCCTTCCCCCTTCTCAGATTCTCCCTTCCCTTCTGCCTCTTTCCCCCCTGCCTTCCTCCTTCCCCCTTTCCCCACCCTTTCTCCTTTCCCTTCCCTTCTCTTCCTCTTTTTTGCCTTTGAAGTGGCCTCTCTCGGTTTTCACCAACGTTGTGCGCCGGACTTCTTTTCCACCTGACCCTCTTCTATTTGAAACCCTCTCGGCGGCAAATTTTCATACCCTTCAAATAGAAGATTGGCACAAGTTATTTCTTCCAAAATAGATGTGCGTACTATAGGGCTATCCAAGCGACACCACAAAACCCGCAAATGATGATCTGGAAAGTACAACCACCTCAAACACAAATTCACTTCCATGAGGTTCATGCATCCATTCATGATTGGACAGTTGTTAATCACAAAAACATTGTTTGTGAATAGTTGTTAACAACAAGTTTTAGAGACTAAGCAAAGTGACTGAGAACCGCAACACAAAAAACAAACAAACAAACGTGTTAGGAACGCCAACAAGCATGAGAGAAACAAAACACCTAAAACACCTTCGACCATCCACGATTACAACCCACTGAATCAACTCGCCAATCGCTGTCTTGTCGTTTTCTGGATCACCAGTCCTTCACATCTGGTTGGACTTGATGAGGCCCCTCAAGTCCTCGAGTTCATTCACCATGAAACGTCGCAGTTGCGCGATGTCCTTGGTGACGGAGACACCGGCGCCACTCGTGCGGGAGGTCGGTACTGCACACAGTCCATCGTCGCCGTGTCCCGGTGCTGTAGTGAGGCTTTAAAAACAGGTCAGCTGAACAACGGGTGTATAGCGCAACGACGAGAAAATTCATGGCACCAAATCGCGCACAAAGTTTTGCATAGCCCTTACCGTATGATACATGCAGAGTAGAGAAGTCAGCAAGTGACGGGGGAACCTTTCGCATGGATGAAGCGAGCCGCGGAGACGTGCCGGTAGGACCTACCACACAGCAACCGTTGCGGTTGATAACGGTTGATGGACGCAGCATCCGCTGGTGCGACCAAGGTAGGGAAACATGAGGTCACAACAAACGATTCGTTTGTATCTGCTGTACTTGGGCCAGCTTGCGGAACTGCTACGATTGTTGAGGATAATGAGTTTGATGCCTGTATCGAACAAATGGCCCTATTACACAACGCCTGAAGCATCTCAATCCGAAGCATCACTTGAACTCCAGGTCGTCCAAAAGACATAGGACTTAGGACCTATAGGACTCAACAACAAGTTGGCCTGTCGTGCAAATGAAGGGCATAAGACCGCACAGGCAACACAATTCACAACCAAAGGAACACAAGTAGCGCAGGGCGCCTCAACAAAAAAAGCTTTGCACTATCAGGTGCACCAAATCACCGCCAAAAAAGATCTTACTTGCAAAAACTATCTGGTCATGTTGCACCCAACTGGTCCTGGATTAACATCACATACTTGCGCCAATGCTGTCAACCATGGACTACGTACAATCTGGCAATTTCTTTGCAGGCATTGTGTCACAACCGCCCAGAAGGATCCGTCCAGTCACTCTAGTAGCAGGTCAAAACAAACTGCTTGAACACCAGCCCATCGATCAAATCGGCGATGGGTCATATATGATGTCCCTCATGCCCCGAATGCTCCATGAGATATTTTTTACATGTATTTACATACATTCTCCCTGAAGCCACCCTTCATGCGCATGAACAATACACGTAATTCCAGGCAAATCCCCTTAGTCGTGCCTATGTTCGGTCAACACCAGTAGTTCACTCTCCAAACTCGGTCCATTCGCCGAGCTTGGTGGATGCAGGAGGAAAAGAAAGATAGTTAAACATAGTTAAGCGGACAACTGAACTTTTCACCTGTTCCACGCGCGGTCAGGGACTCTCTCTGGTCAACACCCTGTTCTTGTTGAGTAGAGAAACCGATTTCCCCAATAAACGTCCAATTAGTTTACTTCGGGTGATCCCCACCATGACACTTTCCTGTCATGTATCGAAACATTATTTCGGCACTCTTTCATCTGACATTCTTTCTGGCATATCTTCTGACATTCTTTTGGCAACTTTTCTGGCATATCTTCTGACATTCTTTCTGGCATCTCTTCTGGCATGCTTTCTGGCATATCTTCTGACGTTCTTGCTGATTCATTCTGGCATTCTATCTGTCTTGCCTATCTTCTGACTCGCGGTTGGCGAATGAGGTCCGGCGGGGAACACTGCCATCCGGAGCTGGCGGTTGAGGTCCGGAGGAGGAGGCGGAGAGGAGAAGGAGGCGTAGGAGGCGGAGGAGGAGGACGAGGATGGCAGCTGACATAAAGTCTAACAACCCTCACCTGACAGGTGGGGAACGAGAAAAACATTTGCAGGTGATCCATGTACGGTAACTAGGTCACTGCGATCCGCTTCTCTGCTGAACCCAAACCCCGCCGCACAGGAGCGCCGCGAAAAAAGAAAGAAAACGAAACGCAAAACGCATGGCGCCATCTTCGTGGAAGCCAGGCGCCATCATGCTTACCGAGGTGGTTCTCCGGAACTGCAGGATCGCCTGAGGTGTCGAGAGAAGGGATGGAGGTGGTCCAAGCAAAAGCCAGTGGTCCAAACAACATCACCAATGGAATCTGCAGACGGAGATGTCGACAATGCCTTTGGGGCCTGTTCTTGAGGACATTCACACCAAAACTATGTCACTACCATGCAGATGCCTGTCAAACCAACTGATGTACGCCTGAATGGTCACACCATTTTGCATCCACCTTCATTGTGCACCCCAGAGAAACGGAAAGAAGAACGGGCGCGCCATGGCCAAGTGACATCCACCAACTCGGGCACGGACAAGGCATTCCGAGAATGGTACATGATCTCAGGGTACTCCACCTGGAAATCTGACAAACAAGAAATAACGCAGCTTAATAGGCACACCGGATGACATATGCGTCGGCCAACTCTACTTGGAAAATACATGAGTTAAAGTGGATAATCAAAGCTCGAAGAGTGCAACGTTTGCCGGATCTCTTTGCACCTTTCACTTTAGACCCCCATCAGCAGCAACAAACGTCGCTGTAAGACAACTTGGAAACCGCATCTGAGAAATCATTAATGAAGGCACTTGTCTAAGCAACTCGAGAAAATCTTGGAAAACTTGCACATCCATCCAACTTAAAATATTGCAAGGAGGAAACGCAAGTGAATGGTTTGTGGAGCTCCAGTGAGACCGTATTTCCCAATCCGCTGACTTTGGGTCCACTCTTCCAAGAAAAAAAGTGACTATATAAAGCCCTTAAGTGGAAGAAACCCACTGTTCATGCAATTTTCACAACATTATGTGGCGTAACCCGCCTGGGTTGTGAGCCAGACTGTCTCGGGTGTTTGACTCTCTTCCTCTTAACTCCCAAGAGGCTACAGACATGACGTCGACATCGATGTTGGACAAGGTCTGGACAAGGCCCTGGTCCTTGGAGCACTGAGGTGTTCTCAGAGCTTTGGGTTCTGCATACCGTTTCGGCTTTGCGGAGACCGACAACCGGAGGACCGGGGCCTGGCCTGACGTGGCATGAAGGTTGGGACATATTTCCGGTGGATCCTATTAACTTATTGGTTTGTGACACAAATCCTTCCATGGCCCTACAGGAAACCCCAGAAAAAAGAAAACGTGAAGGAGCAAATTTAGGTAACAACCTTGCAACCTCAAACTACGCTGAAACGCACATCACCTTGTGCCAGTTGTTTATATAGTTACACGGCACTGTGATTCTATTCGACGTTATTCAAAGTTTTGGCTATGTGAACCATATTGAAACACATAGTTTCACCAGAAAAATCCAAGAAATCGGCGTAAACACGGCACCTGCGTTGGTGCCAAGACTCCATAATGACTTTCATGAAAAGTTCTCGTGAGATTCCGGTCTGCCTGGAATCTGCTGGAATCAGCTCCTGCTCGACTGGTCGATGCCGGGAACTGTCGGGTCAGACAATCCTAGTTGCTGGGCTGTCCTTGAGAGGAACTAAAACTATATTAGTTGACATAATTAGGCCACCTGGTTGTAAGTAGAAGTGCACACCATTCCCTGACACCTCTTCAGATGGGGCGTCCGCATCTCTGACTCTCGTAAAACAATTGTCGAATATGAGGGATCACATCTGTTCAGATGTTGGTCCATTTTAACCTCTCTTTCAAAGCAGCACCAAATCGCTCCTCAATCTTCTCTTTCACCGCCTGGAAGAGCAATTTTTTCGAAGGCCGACACATTAAGTTCTAGATGGTTCTATCAAAATAAAATAAACGATTGTTGCGGGCCAACCAAACTTTTTGCCCCAAACAACACTTATATTTTCCCTAATTAAATAACAAGGTACTCGTTTTCCATGAGTTGGTTCAACATGAAGGAACACACATATCATGCGAATGAAAACCCGTTCGCTCTACGGCTGCGAGTCCCATTGGAAGTTTAACCCTGGGGCGCACCTATGTGCGAATTTGTTGCAACATTGTTTTGTTGTATTTATATCGTTCTATGTTTTTTGGGTATGTGATAAATGTTTAGTGTAGTATACCTGTGCATTGATAAGTGTCACTATTAGTGAGCCTGAAGGTGGGACGCAGGCACATTTTTGGGTCTTCCAACATCAAAGCAAACATCAATTTTTCTTGGAAAACACAGTAAGGTCTCAATTTGAACACTACATCTCCCAAAACCAGAGACGCACGCTTCTTTTGAAAAAAACCAACTTCAATCGAGAGGTCTGATGTCACAAATCATCTTTGCAGCCCGCAGGTAGCCTTCATGGCCGTTTCCTCCTTGTCCACTTGCGCAGTCACTGAAACAACCTCCACAAGCACACCGATCAACATGTTCATCACCTCAGAAGAAGGTGCAACTGATGACTCTGCAAACGAAAACAGCAGCAAATTTATTCAGACTACGTTAGACTTGTTCAATAAGGTCCACTGGCGTCACCAGCAAAAAACAAAACATTAATTAAATATGTATCCTGGCAAAAAAAACAAACAGTGCGTGTGAGGTCTAGAGGTGTAGTAGCAGAAAGTCTAGAGATCTAGAGGCGTTGGGGTCCAGGCGGTGATGAAGGTGGAGATCGTGGTGATGGTGGCGGTGGTGAGTGAGTGAGTGAGTGAGTGAGTGAGTGAGTGAGTGAGTGAGTGAGTGCGATTGTGAGTGTGAGTGTGAGTGAGAGTGAGAGTGAGAGTGAGTGGGTGAGTGACAGTGAGTGTGAGTGCGCGTGTAAGTGAGAGTGAGTGTGGGTGAGAGTGAGTGTGAGTGTGAGTTAAAGAGTGAGAGAGTGAGAGTGAGTGTGAGAGTGAGGTTAGAGTGATTTGGACCACCAAAGCACAAGGTTTCCCTTGCGCCTGCCATGAACAGTGACCACCATGTCCGAAAATGAGCGGCGCCACAACGAGAGCGCGGTCGCGACAAGCGCCCGCTGCGGACACCCAGATTCTGCGAGCCTGTGCAGTCGAAATGCACTTGGAGGATTTTAAGGGGCGTGTACTGTAAACAGCAGCGAATTAGCCGCACACGTCGGTGCAACACCTCATTAGACACCGGTGCTTAACTACTGCCGTAAGAATCCCTAGTGTGTCTATACACTGTTTGGGAAAAAAAGCAACCTGAGGCGGAGGGTTGCAAAGTCATGGGAAAGTGGCGGGGTTGTCCCAACGAAAGCATCTCACCCGATCTTCTACATCTCTGCTTCGACCTTGTCCAGACTCGAGATCAGCGATTGCGCCGAAATAACGAAGCAAGCTGGATGCGCAAAGGGCAACGCTCCCAAGCAGCAAGCAGCACACAGCTGCTGTGTTCAACATCATCGGTTTGGACGAAATCATAACATGATGACTGCAGCCGCACCGAGTGCGCCCAATCGACAGCGCTGCGCAGGACCGCTGTCCACTGCGCTCTGCTGAACATTCAGTCCGGAGTTGCAGGTTCAAAGACCCACTTAGGTGTCACTTGCTGAGCGATGGATAAACGCGGAAAAGTCTAGGTTACATCTTCTTTCCAACCAAGGTCTGAAAGCCACAAAATAAGACCAAATTATGAGAACTTGAACGTTCAGAATGATGATTTCTGCGGAATATTCCGTTGTTATTAGTTGGCAAGCAAATGTTGGATGGCCTTGCTTCAATTTGATTTTTGGCAAAAAACATCAATTGTCTAAATTGTTGAAACCAAGTGGGGAGCGCTTTATTTCCTGTGTTTATGTTGTTTGTCTGTTGCGCGGTGTTGACCATGTTGTAATGCACTTTGACCCACTGACACGAAGAGCACAAAGAGTTCCGTCCAAAGCCACAAAGGCGGCCACAAGCCCTATCAAGAAGGAGCAGTTCTGGGGCTCAATAAACAACCTTCACAAGAACTAAGAGAGTTATCCAGCAGTCTGCCTTAGATCTCATTGAAAAGATGAAAGGCAAACAGCCGCGTGAGTGGAAGTGGTGCAGCGTGGTATAGTAGTGGGGATGACCATATGTGGTGTAGAATGACCGTATGGTCAAACGCCAGGTTCTGAGGTTCGGAGTGGAGATCATCCGGAGGATCCGGGAGAATCGGGTCACAATGAAGATCAGAAGCTTGAGGTTCCTATGCCTGAGCTGGAGGGGTGCTTCTTGTCCTAGTGTCTACACGGTTTTGTCGTGGAAGTAGCCACACCGGCAATTTCCTATCTCCTTGATGTTTGCTACACTTCTTCTGATTGGTAGGGGTATTTTGGCTAGCGTGCATATGAAACGATACCTTGTTATATATATATATATATGTTTTTGATTCTTGCAAGAGTGGCCAAGTAGGCTCTCAAATTTTGCTTTGACACCCTGCAGGGGCTTGTTTTTTTCGCTCATCAGGGTCTTGTTTCTCTTTATTTTTCCTCGATGCCACCTGCGTGCAGTGTGCAAGCTCTGGCTGAAGCACACTGCCGGCGGCTGCCAATCCCGCTGAACAACTGGCCAGAAGGATTTGATGTAGCCAACGAGGTTCAACAGCACTTCTGTGTCGGTGGAATGAAAGAGGCCAAAGACTCGAAAGAGGTTTAAAAAGTAGAGAGAGGTCCCGCCCAGCAGCGCCGCACTGCAGCGACGAGCATCTGTCGGCCAAACGATCTAGCAATGCAGCTGAATAGCGTGAACAACAACAAAAATTAAATTGCAATGTACATGTAACATGTATGGGTTCTGGAAGGAGCAGTATCTAAGTATATGTTCACCACAAAGAGCTGAAGTTGAAGACAATACACATGCAAAATGCTTTGAAACAAGGATGCCCCGGGTGGAACCTGCGGAAGTCAATGCATTTAATTTTGACTCACTCCCATATATCATCATATATCATCCATGGGCAAGAAACACTTGAGCGGGTAAACACGAAAGGTAGAGCTGTCGGGACCTTGTCTGGTGAGGGACTGTCTCCGGTGTTTCAGGAACGTTCCCCTTGGTCAATCATGGATGAAACCAACAAAGCCAGAGAGCACAAGAAGGCTCAAGAGGAACACCGTTGCGGTCAGATTGCGCCACACGGCTCTGCAGAGAGGCTGCGTTGCGTCGACGCTCGCTTGTGTAAAGGTGTGTGAAAACAGGCGCGCGTAAAAGTCGCAATGCGTAAACGCTCGCATGTGTACCAGCTATGGTCCCACAGCTGCACGCACTGTGTCAGGATTACAGGCCTGCACGCGTTGCGTCGAAGCCGCAGTGACCAACCCCTTGTAAGGATAGTGCTGGAGGGGCCCCTGGAGGGGTGCGGCCGGTGCTGCCAGGGATGGACGTCACGCTATGGTGGGCTGAGTCGAATGGTGCTCCGCGAAGCGAGAGGTTTCTCCACAGGGCTTTGCGAAGAGGCTGTTTTGCATCGATGCTCGTTGGTGTCGAGAAATATGGTCTGTGAACGCAGTACGCGCTGTGTCAGGCTGCCGGGTGCGCACGCGCGGCATCGAAGCCGCATTGCGCAACCTCATTGTGCAGGGTTCGTGCTGTATTGCGCAACCTCATGGCCAGCGTCGTACTGCTGCGACTGCGAAGCGCATGACGTCACCTTATGGTGTGATGGTGTGTCCAGAATGCTAGTAGTGCTGGCGAAGTGGAGGGGAGTGGAGGGGAGGGGGAGGGAGGGGTGCAAAACAATTGATTTATCAATGAATCATCACATGGGAGGGGGGGAAGGGGGGGGTGGGGGTGTTAGACATTGATCTACCAATCTCTAGTCCCGAGCAGGCTCTCAAGCCAGTCCCTTTGCTTCGCAAAGCAAACTCAAGGTAGTCCTTACCAGGCTACCTTTCGTGATCAAGAAACCATGATTTTGATTTGCACTGTGGTCGGCTGCAAGTTCAAGTTTACTCTGAATTGTATTTGATGCCCTTTCCCCAGTTTGGTGCCAGGGGACAGTCAAGCCGGTGATCAACAAATAGAAAAGCCCAAGGAGGTAGGTGATTGGACCCACCTCCAACATCCTTGGTGGACGCAGCGATCTCGGTGTTTCCATTAACCCATCGTGGCGTCTCCTGGTGGCCTGGCGTGCGCCGAAAACGCGCAGAATGGCCTGGCTAACAGCCGGTGGCCTGGCGTTCCTTCCCCGCGTTTGGGCACTCAATCTTTGAACAGTTAATGCAAACCAGGCATCTTGTGCATCAACTCCTGTTGCTCTGGAAATACCTTAGATCAGTGCTCTGTTGAGTTGGAGACTGAGTCGGAGTGAGTTTTGTTTCTTGCTTTCTCTGTGAGGTGGATTTATTCCGAGTGACTCACAGGCCCGTGTGATCTGGCAGGGAAGCAACGTCAAACAAAACATCGGCTGCAAAGCTGCTGAGGAAGAACTGCCTAAAACGTTGCAAACCCAACAGATCTCCCAATTGCATGCCAACCACCTAAATACCAACAGCTCCTGTCTCACCGACGACCCCTCTATGGACCCCCCAAAAACACCTCAAGCTCGCTGCGCCGTCTAAAGGTGGGAAACACTGGAAGCTCGGTCTCGGTGCTTTTCTGGTGAATTCGGCCCGTGGTGCCACATTCAGCATGAGGCAGTTCATGGATTCCAGGACGCCATCGTAGCAACCAGCACCTTCGTCCGTGCCACGGAAGAGCTGCGTAAAGATGATCGCCTCGGTGCAAGGCAACAAAGGGTCCGGTCGCGCGCGCTTGCGCACTGGGTGGCCGTGAGGGGGTTTCGGGTCCGATGGACGGGAAAGAGGTAGAGTGAACGAGAAAACACTGGAAGCAAGTGGATTCAATATCGAATCAGGCTATTTTGCAAGGATATAGAACATGACTTGGAAATAGCTTCCGGACACGAAGGAAACAAGGAGGACCCTCAACAGTTTCTGTCACTCAACAGTTCGGTGAGCCCATACCATTTGGATTTGTACTTCCGAAGCCAAAGCTTGCGGATGGAACCGAATCTGTGAGCTTCATGGGTTTCATGTTCTTGGCAGAACTGGTCACCTCCACAGCGGAGTTAGTCTGACTGGCTTTATGGAGGCCTCTTCCAATCTCTTGGCAAATGGTGGTTACACCAGACTCTGTCTGAAGTGGGATGAAAAGGATATTGTAAGAAAGTCAAGTCGCATTAGGCCTTTAGAACACTTCGACATCAATAACTCTCTTGAGAGAGACACTTGCAGCTGCGTCAAGTCACAAAGACATAGATCACCACCATCATCAAGAACCTTTCGGAATGGCGACAAACACGCTGGCGCCAGCGTCACCAAAGTGTGAGCCTATCTGACCCACCCGGTCTCTCCTTGTTGTTTTTCATGGTATGAAGGAGGGCCGCGGCCGCGTACACTTCTTAAAGCAACAAAGCAAGTACCAAGGTTCTATAGTTGAGGCAACACCATGGCAGAAAGGCACGTGTAAATCTGGACTTTAACTTGAAAAAGAGCAAATCTCAATTTTAATTGATTATTTAGAATTAATGTTAAACTATTCTCATATTTCACCAGATTTGGTTAGATCTGTGCTCGGAGTCTACAAGAAATCAAACAAACAAGCGACGCCTGCCCGATGATATGGTCTGGGCATCTCCGTGGAACCCCGCAACACGACGATCTGGGCATCCACGTGTCTGCAAACTTCAAGTGTGGGCGCCAATGAGGAAACACGCTATCCTCAAAATGCCTGACTTCCCTCAAGTCTGATCACAAAAAGTGCTGATGGCGTCATTGAATGGCATGCAAACGACCCGACCAAAGAGTATTGGACTACGATTGGGAAGACTCTGTGATGGACACTTTCAGCATATCACACTTGAACTTGAGAGGAGGGAGACACGAAAGGTAGGACAGCGGGAAGAGAAGAGAACGCGAGAGGCAGGAACAAAAATGCAATGTTCGACATGGTGATTTATCCCCTCGGAGGCGACCTTTCGTAAATATATGTTCATATGCACTCTAAATGTTCAAACATATGCTCTCGAAATGTTCAAAAAGGTTCTTAGGAAAACAAACTTGCCCCATGGCTCAGATCATCGGTGAGCATTGAATCGGAACATCATAGGATTTGTCCTGAAACCATAAGAGGCTCACGAAGACGCTCCCCAGGAGAGAATTGACGTGCTTCACAAAACAAACTCTAGGTATGTATCCCCTCGGGGAACACCTTTCGTGATTAGAATTTCATATTCACTCTTTCTAAAATGTTCAAGAGGGTTTCAACTATCCTGAAATCATGAGAGGCTCACGAAGACGTTCTCCAGGAGAGAATTGATTTTAGAGGAGGAGAGGGAGGGGGGGGGTCTGAATTGAGCGATCAATTATTAGACCCGGACGTCCCAACACTTGCTTCGCAAGACAAACTCAAGGTATCCCCTAAAGGGCTACCTTTCGTGATTAGAGAAGTATTGAAATGTATGAAGTAAGACTGCCCATTGTCAACACAAATGATCTGAATGTCCTCTTCTCCCTTCCAGGTGTGTCTACAACTGATCTGAGGGTCCTTTTTCTCCCCTTCAGGAGTCTCTGTGTGACTGAAATGTTGCTGACAAATTGTTTACACCGTTGCAAAGCCCGGCTCCGAATCCAACATGTCAGTCACGTAACGCGCAAATCTACGTAGTCATGGAAACTCGCGGTAGTAGGGCACTTTCAGTACAGGCCAGGCTTCTTGAACAAACCGGACCCAAGCAGTATCGACCTATAGTGATTGATCATGAATAATCCTTTGGTGTCTCCCTGAAAGACAAGGACCTCATCAAGCTATGTTTGGGTGGGACCCTCTGCTGGCCTGCCTATGCTCCAAGAAGCAAGGTGGAGAGCACGGAACGCAATCCCATGCTGATGCCTTTCACTAAGACGATGAGCTCGCGACATGAACTCATAAGCCTGCCAAGACTGGAGAATGGAGTCCGAGTGGAGTGACTCAAAAACACGTGAGAAAACCTTCAGGACGTGAGGGGGGGTTCAGCGGTGACACTTCGATAAGGAAGAACGACAAAAACTGCCTGGTGCTAGGGAATGAGATGGAATGAGGGTGGCTAGGAGCAAAGAAGCTACTAGGAACAAGTGCATCGCTTCTAGTAACAAGTGCCTTACTAGTAGTAACAAGGACGCTACTAGACATCATGAGGGTGGCTGTCAAGATTCCTTTCGGGTCGACCCACCCAACCCTTCCTTGCTCCGCACCACCAAAAAGACGAGGACCAGCGATTCAGCGTCGCAACGAGGTCACAGGCGATGAAGCCCCCCGCTCCCCCGGCTTACCCCCAAAGAAACTGGTTTTGTACCGGAAAAAAAATAAAACTAATGTCAAAGAAACACATCGTTCTTGTTTAGCCTCTTTTGCGTCGAAATGACGTGGGTTCATAATGGTTCGTATGTCTGTGCCACAAGCAGTCCAGACTTGTGACTTCATAGTCTGACGAGTGTGCAAAATAATGCTCAAAATATCGACCATTCAACACAAAATATCACAAAAAATGCCTCGCCAACTAAACTTGTCTTTGGGGTTGGTCCTGATCTCAGTATTCTAGATTGAAAACAAACGAGGCACTTACATAATTTGTCCATTCTAGTGCAAAGGAAGGTGTTGTGTCGATTCTTGGCCAATGACCTAGGGCGTGAAGGATTTTAATCGATGTTCTTGTCCGTCACTAGCACTCAAAATGAATGGTCTTTGTTGCAGTTGTCATTCTTATCTTGCAACCGTAGCGACTGGATGAACGGCAACTAAATGGAGGCCTTGGTCATACTAGGGGTGCAACTCTTTCGGTTTGCGTTCGTCGATGACAGTTCGATGCTCAGAGTTGTGTTTAGCTTGCTCTCCAGGCCGCTCAAAAACCATCAAAAACGACGACGGCGACGACGACGACGACTACGACTACTACCACCTCTATGGTTTGTCTCAAACTTCCACGTGACAAAACGTCCTCAGCTGAAGCCTTGCTTCTCCATCACACTCAAATATGGTGTGAGTGTTCATGACATCAACAACATCAAGCTCTGATCATCTGTGGGAAAACTATAGCACACATCCTTGGTGGGGCATCCAAGCATATCCAAGCTATTCCAAGCTCTAAGTTGGGACCTCCGTCTCCAAAAATCTCCAGATGCTTCTGCGCCTGCCTTCCCGCCCGCACGAAAGCCCGCCTTCCTACACGCGCGATTCGCACGAGGCGGAAGAGTCGGAGGATCCGCAGCACGGACAAGTTTGCGCCGCCCTCGGAAGGTGCGACGGGTCGGAAAAGTGGGGGATGATCTGTGTGGGGTGCGAGGGGCGCCGCGGGAAGTTGATGGAACTGTGTGCTGGATTCTACGCTGTTTTAAATCCGACGGATAGGGCACGGCGTCTTTCCAAAGTGCAGATGATTTATGTGTTGTGCGATTCGGTCTCTCTGCCGAACACAGATTTATCACATTGCGCTACATGGCGCACTGGTGCGCGGTGCCTCTCAGGTTGGAGTAAAGACCTTCCAATTGAAATGGACGGATGCGTCGACCTGGAAAATCGATTCGACATGATTTCCATTGATAACAGGATTGATCATTTGGGCCCACATCCAATCCATGATGCAAAAGAGGCATCTTGGCACCTGCTCCACTGTATCACAGACTGCACGAGCAGGGTATAAGTGTGTGAATTTAAGTACGCGTTGCAGGTGATGTCAACTTAGACGTCAAACTTCCAGTTCCCCTCGTTGGGTCTAGTCTCGAAGCTCAATGGATCTGGATCATGTTCTGAATCAACCCAGCCTACTCTCAGAACAAAGCATTTAGCCATCGCATTCGGGGGAAAACTCAAAGCCGGCCTGCATCATCCCTTTTTGAAGCAAACCATCTCACAAGTCCCCGTGGTCGGCCCCGTGGTCGGAGAAATCCAGGCGTGTCCGTCAAGATCCATCTGACATTGGGTACCATACACTTCAGAATCAAGAAACACCCATGAAATCCCATCACATTTGGCCGGGTGTACTCTGAGGACCCAGGTCAACTCTCGCAGCAGAAAGGCACAACATGCAAAATAAACAAAGACCTACCGAGCACATCCACTGGTCGAAACCATCAAATGTTGACGTGATGCCCACTTCTGAACAATAAAAAATCAAAAACACGTGATAGCACATGTATGAAACGGTTTCCACCACCGACCCCAATCCGAATCAATCCGATGTGTGTCTTAATTGAACCCAACTGAAACCACCGAAACGATGCTCAACGTTCGACATAACTTCCAGCCGAGGCGTCTACTGATCCTCGAAGCAGGCAAGCGTTTTTTTTTCAGGCGGGTTTCGAGTCGATTTAGTTGGGTGCAAACAGCACAAACAAACCAACACTTCATGATCATTGCCATTCTGATACCATGAGTCTTTTCTTCGTTCTATTTAGTCAAGTAATATGTACTGTGATATGATATCAGTGATATGTGTCTCTTTACCCTCCAAATCAAAGGCCTCGTTTTACTGGGCTCTATTTTCTGCAAAACTGATAGCAAAATTCGACCTCTAAAAACTTTTCGTGGAAATGGTGGAAAGCCCGACTTTACTCCGTAAAGGACGTCTTTTACTTTGGCAACTACTTGAGGCCAAGGGGGGGGCGAAAGCTAGCGCTCCAGAATGGGAAAGTGGAGGGCAGCGAGGTAGGAAAAAACACGGCGCTCTTTTTGGAGGCAGTCGCATGGAGTAGCAGAAGGCAGGACGCCTTGCACAAGTTGGGCGGGGCAAACGATTCCAGGTGAAGAGTCCTTTCTATGTGGCTCTTTGCCCGGATCCTCCTGCGAGAGAAGAGAGAGAAGAGAGACGGAAAGACGAGAGACAGAGAGGAGAGAGAGAGAGAGAGATGAGAGAGAGATGAGAAAGAGATGAGGGAGAGATGAGAGAGATCAGAGAGAGATGAGAGAGAGATGAGAGAGAGAGAGAGAGACAGTGAGAGTGAGAGTGAGAGTGAAAGTGAGAGTGAGAGTGAGAGTGAGCGAGTGCGGCCGCAAGATACGCAACGCTAACCGCATGCCAAAGAGCGACGACAGGAGGGAGTCGAACTTGCGAAGAGGGAGGAGGGAGGGAGGGAGGGAAGGTGGGGGTGGGAGGAAGACAAGGAGGAGGAGAGGGGAGGTGGGGAGAGGAGGGGGGGGGGGGGGGGGGGGCTTCGACCTAAAAAATCAGGGGTTAGGATTTGCACCCGATCGAAAGAAACCTTGCTATCGCAAGAGTAACTCCAGCTAGCTTCGCTAGCTTTCGTGATAAGAAGTAAAAGACGTCTTTTACTTGGCAAATGGTAAAAGTAAAAGACGTCTTTTACTTTATGCATATATGGTGCACATATACATGGCACGATGATTGTGATTCAACATGCTGCACCAATGGCTTTCCAGGAGCGTTTTGCTCTACTTTCCGTTTCGCGCGAACATCGCACAAACAAAATATGTGTGGCAACAAGCGCATGCATATCATATAAGTGGCGCCCAGGCTGCTAGATCTTTTTAATCTGAAGCAAGGTCGATGCATTACAACACAGACAACGCATGTGGTTGAAATTGGCCGTTTCTGGCCCGGGCATGGGACCGTGACTCTCGCGTGACTCCCACCTAAACCACGAAGTTTTTGACGTCCTTTACTTAGTAAAGGACGTCAAAAACTTCGCCATGGACATCATTGGGCGTGACTCTAGCGTGACTCTAGCGTGACTCTATAGCATGGGACCTGCAAGCTTCTAATGCGATTTGACGATGAACTAACATCGGCTTGAACAATGCACGCGTGCAATTGCAAGCAGCAAACATGACTCCCACGTAGCCACGTATATCATGGCAATGTAACTGGTAAATTGAGCAAACAACGTGCGCAAAAAAAATACACCAAGAAAAGATTCGCACGCGTGGACTTGCGTAAGGCATGTCGCCGCTAAAAGTGAGCGTATGGGTACCATGTCTCCGGTATGCATGCACATATGTATGTATAAGGACCATCGACTCCCAAACAATGTTCCATGGAAATGACCTTAATGCCCAAAGAAATTTGTGTGGAAGTGGTGACCTTAATGCCCAAAGAATCTTCCGTGGAAATGGTGACCTGAAAGTTTTTGAAGGTCAAAAAAATGTGACCTCGTAAAACTGGGTCGTTTACAGCAGGACCTCGTAAAACTGGTCCTTTTGAGGTGGAGGGTTACTTATATATACATTCCAGGGGTAGAACATGTTCTCGTTGCAATCTCCTTGGAGACAAAAGAAACATGCGTGGGGAAAGGAAGAGACTCGCTGATTCACCATTCAACTACCAGTTACCACACCATATACATCCAATACCACATAGATCCGCAAGCTTCAAACCCAACAAGAGCTGGTCTTTCCATCGCTTGCCTGCGTTTCTGTGCACGTGTCCGCTCCTGGCTACACTCGGGCCACGGGCTTCGCACCAAGTGGCTTTGCATGAGGAAGACTAACATCGAAGTGACCCAGACCTGGTTGACGTGGCGAGGCCGAGATCTTGGGGACGAGATGAACAGCCTCTCTGGTTGGTTGTTAAGCATAGCGCAAAGAAGGAGTTTCGGAATTGAGCATCCGCGTCAACAGGTGAAGCGATTGAGGATGTCGTAATGCGTAATTCTGAGATCCTTTTCGGTGCAACCACTGGAAACCAAGAAAACTGAGCATGTAGCATTGACATGCTATGCCATGATTGTCGTTCCAAAGGCCAATCTGTACAGCAAAATTAAATAGATTATATTTGTCTTCAATACTGCCCTCACAACCACCCAAAAACCAGACCATGTGCCTCCCAAATCATCGTCAAAACGAGCGAGAAGTCAAAGATAAAGCTGAAGTCCTACCCCAAATGCATGCCACAGTTGATTGACAAAATGCCCCACTACGTCACTACATAGTCTCATGTCCGTTCAAAGGAGCGACAGTAACTCTACTTCAGGATCCCCCGTGGTGCAGGGTGTAGGTCATCAATCATATTACTGTCAAGTGTAAATGCTTGTGAGATAGAAAACCATGGAGGTGGTGTGACTGCATTCTGTGACAGCCTGACATCACACAAGTCTTACAGGTCTTCTTTGTGCTGTGATTGTTGTTATCAACAAGTGCGTGGGCTTGCCATGTTGCAAGAACACCTCACAGGTGCAACACAGATCCATCACAAGCTGTCAGGACTGGTCCTTGAAAGCATCTCGGCTTTTCTGATATGCAAGGAAGCGCACGGAAATTTCGAAGGAAAAGAAGATGCAAAAGAAGTTGTCCACCACCTGGTGATCAGAAAGGTCAAATGCTTTATCACCCAGCATTCTACTGTGATCTGATGATTTTGCCTCATCGAAACATCTGGGATTGCATGGTTGCAAGCTGACTCAGTTTCCCTGAGGTTATAACCGGTTTCAACCTGTTCATGCTTAGGTAGGAGTATGCATCATGAATACTCTTCAAACCTACAGAGGTATCGCTCCGCACCCGGCCGCCCTAATTTGCCGAATCATTGAAGCGTTCACCGCCCCTCCGAATCAGCCCCTATCCCCATCTCCAAGGAGAAATTATTCAGGACAAGAAGCTACTAGTAACAAAGGGCATCGCTACTAGGGGCTCCTGGCCTTACTACTAGGAACAAGAAGCTACTACATCAGTCGAGCTAGATTCCACATCCCCGCCCCCTGGTCGGCACTTGAAAAATCAGCGGTGAGTTGATCTCCAGGTCGGAGGTGTTCCTAGGCCGGCATCTTCAAGTCGTCCGCATTCGTCCGCCCAAGCAAACGCGGGATGCAAATAAACATGGTGGCGGTGGTGAAGCCCTATTGAACTGACAATAATTCAACTCATTCAGTACGTATAATGTAATATATGAGTCATATTATATGAGTCTCTATAGTTTGGAGAATGTAACATTGAGTAGCCAAGACTTGGATGGCAATATTGTTTGACAACGGAATTCCTCGTGTTCCTCATTGGAACATCATATCTCGTGATGGATCACACAGTGAAACGCCCCCCAAGACTCAATTCCACGATGTTCGTTCAAGCATGTTCAAACATCAGCCGCTCGGCTACTGTGTCTACAACTATATGACTATATGTGTGGAAGCAGCTTTGAGACAAGGAGCAGGTCGGTGTCAATGCCAATCCAAATGGCGTTCAACACCTTGGGACATAGGGAGTGGTGGGTCCCGACTAAATAAACAAACGTAGGCCTGCAAACTCAAAGTTTGTGAAACATTAATTGACCATGGACCATAGTAATATAGGATAGAACAACATGAACTCTTTGGTTTTGGGAACAACTGAAACGGATTTTGCTGGTTTCAGTTCAAACCAGTCTGTCTACACATCTACTGTAATTTGATGTCTCCAAAACCACATCTCCATCGTTTGCCCGAGGCAGCTGCGATCACAACCATGGTCATGTTCTTGAAGAGCTGATTACGTGCGATTGCTTGGCACCTCAGCGGAGTGCTGGGGGTGCCACTTCCGAGGTCAGCTGTGATGAGTGCGCCCTGCACCTGGGTGATGTCCTCGTAGACGAGGGACTGAAATGGTCCGACCGTGAAATGGAACAGGATATTGGCACTGATATTGGCTGATTGCTAAACAGCATGCATTGGAGAAGCTGGCTTCAGCCACAGCATCCACAGCCAGAAATCGAACCGGAGCTTCATCAGGTGAGAAGCTGGTGACAAATGGAAGCCAGTCCTGTAGATAGGCACTATAAAGTTCATCCATTTGGCCAGGGGCCATGCTGGCTGGTTTGGTGGTTGGTGGAGGTGCGACCGGCGAGAATGAGTTGGGAGCAAGGCATTTCTCTTCAACCTCAGGCGAACACAACCCTGCCACACTGGGTAAGCAATGCTTTTCCTCTATGGAAGGGCCTAAAATGGTTGAAAAACTTTAAGTCGGGCGAATAGACATGTGGTCGAAAAGCAACTTTCTCAGCGCAAAGAGACGAGTTGTCAAAGGGCTTCAATGCTGTCACATCCAACTTGCAATCCAAGGGCTTAAAGTTTGTCAGCAATAGCAGCTTGAGGTTCTGAGAAGCATCTGCTTTCGTAGACAAACATATTCGACGTTGGATCGAACTGGCAGCCTGTAGCTATCTGGAGGCTGTAGGGTGACACACAAACCAATTTATGCAATCCAGTTTAAACCAAATTTTCCAACATAAACGATTGTGACACATTATGCGATGGGCACCGACCTCCACTGGGCATCATCCGCTGGGTGTCTAAAGCCACCCTGGGCTGCTGCTTGTGCCTTGTCTGTTTCTCAGTGCTGCACCATCCAGTGGTTTTGAACAAGTCCTGCTGCAAAATCAGGCAGCAAATCACTTGACTTTGTTCGAGTGTGAGATGCAAGTGCTATGCAATGAACCAAACCTTAGCGCGAAAAAACAACATGACAATACATGACACATTTCATGGCTTTTACACAAAATATCACAAAATCAAACCAATGCACTACCTCATAAGGGGGAAGTATGTCACCTCGTTGATGACTGACTTAGAGAAGCTACTACTTTGAACACTGGAAAGTGCGTGCTTTCCCAACTGCCTTTTCCGCCGATCTGAAATAAGACTTTAACATGTCCGTGTTTCATATCGACAAAGCCGTTCATTGAACCCTTGGACCCGGTCCTCAGGGTTCAGTTCCTCTTCAAACAAGGATGCACGAACCTTCTCTTTGATCTTGTCAGCATCAGGGAACATTGCACCTGAGGTATTTCTGTCACAACCAAAAGTGCAGCAACAAACAAATACTGGCAACAATGAAGGCATGGTGCTCTCCTTTTTGGTGCATTATCATTAGTACAGGCCTCGGCCACATGTTGTGGCCATCCACACACAGCCTCAACCTCTACATGTGAGTTTGCTTCTGAGTCTCTTCACCTGGCATTCTCTGGCTCAAATGCTTGTGATCCCGGCGCAAAAGAATAACATGTGTAACTATACACTAAAATACTATCTGTTCAATATGTGAAAACATCATGACAAAGCTTTAAACAACAAACAACATCCAATCCGTTTCGCCTCACCCCCTCCAAAGCCTCACCCCACCCCACGGCGCGGTCGCTATGGCCTGAGGCAAAGATGCCGAAGCCTCCTTCGACTCCTGGGGACATTTGTCGCTTCATCAGCAACGGCTCCTCTTCGAGCGTCAGAACGTCGACACAGAAAGCGTCCGTCGACACCCCGGTTTCCGCTGCGAGCAGGCAAATAGTGATGGCTTTGTTACTAGTAGCGATGCACTTGTTACTAGTAGCTTCTTGTTACTGGTGATGCATAGTAATGCCTTTTATTTGGATACAACATAACATGATACAAACACCTCTCTGTTTACCCAAGACTCTCCGTACGCTTGTTGAGCCCCTAGCTAGCCAAAGCAACCAAATCTCGGAAACAATGGGTTGCACATAAATGCATACAAATGCAAGACCAGTTTTCTGCAGAGCGTTTTCTGCATGAATTGGGAAATGCCTCCAACATTACAACCTTAGTTCCAAGCTTGACCGCATCACATCAAACTGCTCTAGAGACGCTAAGTGATCGAAAACATTGGCCCCTCCACAGCGACTTTCGCAACGCACTATAGCTCTAAAAAGCAAGCTACACATCAAATTCCGCACTCGAAACTGCAAGGAAAAACATCTGCACACTCAAGCTTTATGCAGCGTAGGTTTTAGCTGGTCTGCAAATATCAATATCAGCCTAAACACACACAGGGTTAAACACCTGAAAACCTTTTCATGTCTATACTGGGGCCAACTCCAAACGTTGATCAACCCTAACCACACTTGCCAAGCAAACAGTGAATCAGTGAAACTGACAGAAACCGTTGGTAACTCTCAAACGTGCGTGCTTACACGCTGATGGAGAATCAGTTGAACCTTTGTTCTTCACATGTGCCATGCCCTTCACAAGAACAGGGCACATTTGTGCATGATACATGTGCTGAATCAGTGCTTTTCCTTGTCCCCTCACCCTGTCAATCGTGCACTGGGGGATGTCATATGCCATGTTGCCATGCCATGCCATGGCCAAAAACATCAACATAACTTCTAGCGAACCCACACCACGCGTCAGGACCTGAAGTGCTCTTCCCATCAGCTTCGAGGATTCCATTCGGTTTGTCGATCAGAGGCATACAAACCGTAGTGCAGTCATCTGAGCTGAGCTACTGACTACATTACATAAATTGCTACCATGTGACATGTGTTTGTTAAACAGTATCCAACATGATTTCCAACCACCACTCATTCATGGTTGGCAACTTGCTATGCAGAACCATTAAACAGTCGGTCAGTTGCTTCTGCACAACTTCAATTTCAGGTCAAGCCTGCTGCTATAAATAGGCTTTACTCGCAATCATCCCTGCCAGCAATATTGGCATGGGAGAAATGCCAAACCAAACTGGCAAGTGCAGAGGGAGCTCCTTAAGACTCCTCTGATCAAATCAGCCACAGGTTTGACGATTCAATGGCATCAAACGCATTTGGTCATGGAAAATTGTATTTAGTTTTGAACTGTATATAGGGGCAATCACACCAGAACTGTTGAAGGGGTCAAGGACGTGTTGGTGTATGGTATACATTAACACGACCTAATTCAAACACCCGCCCAGGATGGTCATTGGATGGCTCTGACATGGGACACGACATGGTGCCCTATTCATTCACTTCAACAGTCATGGGATCCGGGGTTCTTGAAGTCTTCCTGGCCTTCAAATGCGCGAGGCCATGCAGTTGAGGCCATTGACCCCAACATGAAATCAGAACAGAAGAGGTGTGCAGGAGTGTTCATCATTCTGCATCCATCTGGACATATCTGGACGGTTTCTATATGTTTCTATCGTCTTTCACAAGTGACCAAGGAATGTGTCTACGATACATGAACAGGTGTGGCTTGCCAAGGCCTGTCATGTTCCATGTTCAGCAAAGAGCACAAAGGGTTCTATCGCAAAAACACCGTGCGTGAACAAGGCTTGTATCCGAGAACCCCAGGGTGATGCCTGTTTTTGGAGGATGAACCTGCGTCCCCAACAAAACCTGATGTGACAGGCAAGTCTCCAGTTGGAGACATATCATGAAGGAACCTATCACTGCGTTAATACTGAACCTGCGTCTGTTGGTTTGAGCAAAGTGCAACTCCTCCCACAATCTGAGCACTTGAATTCCAGGTGATCGTCAAGCAGGCCGTGTAACCGCCATATTCCTGAAAATCTCCACAGTATTGTCACTGGACACCTTGGTTCATGCTTGAGATATTCCACATTCCACTGGCGGTCACTGGCGGTACAAAACCCGTCTCAAACCTCCACAATGTCCCCGTGGTGCAACGAGGCTTGAGACCTCGAGCATCGGCAGAAAAGTGCAAAGCAACTGGGCCCGGCACCGAAACGGTTAAATCAGTGAAGCACCAGTGAGCAATGCCCAGAAGCGAGCAAAAGGCAAGAAGCGAACGAACGGAGCGACGCTAGGTCCGCTAGGTTAGAAGCTCCTGGCATCGCTACCAATGTAACAAGAAACCGCTAGTAACAAAGGGAACTCGTCGGACTCGTCCCTTGTAGTAACAAGAAGCGACTAGTAACAAGTGCCACGCTAGTAGTAACAAGTGCCACGCTAGTAGTAACAAGTGCCTTACTAGTAGTAACAAGAAGCGACTAGTAACAAATGGGCATCCCTGCGAACGGAGCGATCGGACGCCCTTAGATGCGTCTCGTCATGTGGTCCAAGTCCGACTGGCGTCCGCAGCAGCCCAACCGACTGAGGTCCCGAAGTACGTAGAAACGCTCTTTTGATGTCATGCGACAAACAATGAACCGCCAAAACGCACGGACTTCAATCAACTTGATAGCTTATATTGGGAAAACTGATTCCATAGGGCCGATGAAAATTTTATTGGAGACCACGTGGATACTGTAATGTTTCGTGAACGAGTTTTAAAGCAAAAAAAGGTTTCGGTCTGAGTGTGTTGAGATGAATATCTAAAAGAAAAGTCGTTGAATTGGGTTCCCAACACGCCACACAATCCGGAGTTGGCGACCAAACCCTCCGCAGCCGCCAAAGCACCGTCGGTTTTACAATGTTGCTGACTGTTGCCGTTCAAGGGCCACTGTGGAAAATACCGCCCAACGACAGCTGCAAAGACATGGACAGCCCATGGCCCTCTGAAATATTGTTGACATTCAGCGAACAACGGGAGAAAAACGTGTTTCCTCGATACCACTTACATGAGGGGTGGCCAAAATAATGTGTTGATCTCCATGGAAGAATCCCGATGGAAGAAACTCCCTGCCCTGCACCATATTGAACATATTGAACTCCCAAACACCGTGACTGGTTCACTGACTTACCGCTACCCTCACGGCAGTTTCCGGATTTCTTCAAAGCCCATCGAGGTCGCTATAGGACTCTTCCATGATCAACCGTTCAACTTGTTGAACCATCAGAATTGTAGATATTATTTGAAACCGCCTTCTCAACTTCTCCGTCTTCGACCCAACCAAAAAACCTATGTTTGAGCGACTTTTCCCGCTCGGATCCTCCATCCTCGCGCGTTCGTGGCGCCTGAGCCAGGTTTGGACTCGCTCCAAGCGAACAGCGGAGGAGGAGCAGCAGCTTGCGATGGGATATGGCTCCATCATCATCTCATGTCCCACGATGACGCGCAAAGAGCAGTCCGACCACTCGGATTCGGACTCGGAACCAACGGCGGAAGAACGAACGACCAAGGTTGGTGCACATGTGCGCGCGCGTCTGGTCCAAGCTGGTCACGACCCCAGATTAAAACATATAACTTACATGTATAACACATATACAGTATATATACAAACAGATACTCATATACATATATATGAAAAAACATATGATCTTTTGACACACTGACGTCCATGCCAAGCAGGATGCATTATATAAGGGCAGCACATGTCAGGACAGAACTGCAAAGTCAAGTCACATCATCGCGGAAATCGGGCGCAGGTGCTGTGAAGCTGTTCGCAGTCGGCATCACTGAAGTAAGGGGCACGCCAAGGGAAGGACACGGCACGGAACATTTTGACGGCTCCTGATGTGGGAAGGCTGGTGGATGTGTGCCCATATGGTGACCTATGCACCAGTGGTTCATCGTTTTTTTGTGTGGAGTTTTGTTCTCGGCACGTTCTCAGTCTCATCCCTTGACAACAAACACTTGAATAAGTCGGCATCACCATGTGCATCTTGATGCTGGGCACTGAGATGAGGGATCTTCCAAACTCTGTACACACTACTAGCCACTGCTTACCAAATTATCTTTTCTTGAGTCCAATCTTTCGCCCAGTAGAACTGGTCGGCAATGGTTGTACATGCAAGGTCTTCTATTCAAACATCGAATCTAACTGAAGGTCCTTGAAGATGTGGATCCGACCGTCCAACTCGTTCATCCGAATCTTTCCTCCCGGCATTCGATGCTCGTTCCAGGACTGTGCAATCAGCTGCACCATCGACGGCGAAGCCCTCAAATTCAGTGATCAGTTGATGCCACGCCACACTGGTGCCCAAATTGATTGCGGAAACCCAGTACAATAGCCACAAAACCAGAACACTTGCAACCCACAACTTGTTTATTCCTGACCTGCACCCCACGAGGTGTCCAAAGTTGAGGGTCTTGAGCAATTCCTTGGTCCAGTTTGCTTGTCAATGTCCACAACATCCCAGCTGACCTTTGGACGCTCCCCGAACATATCTTCGCACAACAATTCGCGCAAGGCAAGTCTTCATGTTCATTCAACATGCAGGTCCTATAGTGATTGGAGTTTCTTGCTGAATGGAAGGACAAAAATTTATGGAAACCCCCCTCTCCTTCAGAACGTCTGGCTAAAAGTGTGCTCAAACTGGAAAAGTCTGAAGAGAGGTTGATGCCAACCACGTATTCTCGAATCTCCCCAACTAATGTTCTCCACATTTCCAACCCTGTTGGTGTCGACTTCGTCATTACATTCAACCCGAACGGCGTGACGACTTCATTCTTTGTGTGGAGCGTTCACTTCTCACACTCGGCCCGTAAGACCAAGCATCTGAATCCTGGTCCACAGTCTCGTCCAGTGCTTAGGTCCAGCCAAGTCGTCGGCCAGGTAGGCGCCGGTGCCACAGAGCTGACAAACAGGTGATTCAAGCGCCTGAAGGAAAAAACGGTCTTGCGACTGTGACTCATCTCACCCAATACATTATGCAAAAGATTGGGTGTTGAGTGTACTAGTAGCGATGCCCTTGTTACTATTAGCGATGCCCTTGTTTCTAGGTCGGAGACAGAATGACACCAATCATCGTCTGAAGATTTGCTTCCTCTTCCAAGGCCACATATCAGCAGTGATGTTGCAAGCTGAGGTTTCTCCCGGCCTGGACTATATATGTTCATATATGTTCCATCCGTTGTATCTGCCATATTAGGAAACCTTGTGCCACCGTTATGCCTCTTCACTGCTTAGCAGGAAATAGCAAAAACAGAAACCACTCTCGACGTCAGTGGCTCTCAGCGGCTCCTGCCGCACGAGACACTGGTGAAAAAGTTCCGCTCGATGACGAATGAGGGGGCCAAATTCGCGTCGGCAATCCAAATGAGGATAGTCCTAGCAGGGCTCGCACCCGAGGAGCCTTGTTCTCTTTTTTGGGGGGGAAGGGGGGTACTTGGACGCCCAGTCAAAGAGGGGTGGACGCCCAGTCTAAGAGCCGCTGTTGCGGTGGAACTTGCTGAGCTAGCTAGGACAAACACCAGGACCGTGGTGCGATTGTTATACAAGCGATGCGAAAAATAGATCTTCACAACATGCGACCTGTCGACCCTCTCCTTCCACGATTGTCCCTCACCACATGGTCTGCTCAAGACTGGTGCCACCTCTACCCACACACCTTCCTGTGGCACATCCTCCAACCATGGAAGCTGCTGCTGCTTGGCGATCATGGCTACACGCAGGGCTTTTCTGGGGCTGTGCTTGGCCAGCAAGTCATCCATGTCTACAGGGTGCATGCGGTGCATATGAGGTGTTCATACACTTAACGTGTGGTGAATGCAGGGACGTCCTGCTTCCGAGCCTGTTGACGAGATTTACCAGTGCTTTGGCAAGAAGTCCCACGGCTGTAGCCAAAGAAACTGCAGCGCATAGATCATCAGAAAGAATCAAAAAGCTCATGCCTACTTATCCGGTTATCCGGAAGTCCAGGATTCTCTGTACTTTTGGACAGGACATCACTTTGGAAATCCCACTGTTCCCACCGGGTCAGCCTAAAATGAGCACATCCGCTCTTCGCCGATGAGCCACGCCGAGACGCCCTGTCTGAGACGCCCACCTACTCTTCCATGTTCCGCAGCGACGTTTCGTCATCCCGGTCGGTCGGTCGGGGTCCGGTCGGGGGATTCTTTGCAACCAGAAACCAAGCAAAGCTGCTTGGTGAAGAGCGCAAGCGCGCTGCTACATGAAACGTGTGCACTTGCGATCTTTGCAATAAAATTAACACACACACACTGACCAGTAAAAACTGAGGATTGCCTCTAGACTGGCATTTTTCGCTTCATTGGTGTAAGCACATTCACCTCCAACATGCTTCTGTTTCAAGAAACTATAGTCTATAGTCAAATCATACTAGATCAACTGAAGCAGTCTATGATAGTCCTGAAAAAAAGGACGATAAAATGCGGAACATGCCAACCCGATGATCATCCAACCGACCAAAATATATAAAGAAAAAGCGTTGAACAGGTCCTTCAACGCTCCCGTCTCGATGCGGATCTCTCCATCCTGGGAGGGTCAGAAATCTGTTCCTGGGACCCATAGAGAAGTAGAGTCAGTTGTGGATTTACGTGCATTGCCAAAAACAATCTCAACATATATGTTGTGTTGATATAATATATATGATTGAATTAAATGAGATTGAATCTTGTATCTTGATTTGTGGTATTAGTCGTTCTTTTAGTAAAAAGAACGACACATCCTTGGGGAAGGTGAGCTTCTGCAGTGTCCCACGGCTGTGGCTTTTCTAGCAACTCGACTCCTCTTCCATGAAATTAATGGAAATTGGATCAAACCATCCAAATGCTTCGTTGGATAGGGATCACAGGATTTAGAGGTCCTCTAGATCTGTGTTTTCGCAATGGAAAGTGGAGTCTGGAAAGTTTGCACAAGCTTCCAGAGTTCCATTGAGATCTGCCAGCAGAAGAACGGTTTGTCAGGCAGCAATCTGCGCTACCCGATCAAATGTTCAACAGCTCCAGTTGGCAACAGGTAAAGTGGTCGTTGCAATGATTGAAATGTCGCAAAATTCCTGCCTGATCCTGCCTGTTTGGATGCCCTCCAGTCCATTTCATCTTCAAACCACTGATATCCCTTTTCGAATCTTGCATAATATGTTGCGTGAAGGACAGCCAACTTCCAAGTCATCTTTTGCCTCTCTTCTATGTGTGGCTTTTGAAGATGTGGTGTTCACATGGCATCCTCGTTTCATGTACGCCGCATGAAACGAAGGGAAACAACTGTCCCAGCAACAATGCTTATCGGGTCTTGAAGCATCAAGGCTCCAGCTTGCCTCAACAAAGCATCGGCAATGGGATCATAAATGAACAGCTATCGAAATGATCATCAATACCTCTTTCAAACCCACACCAATCAAATCCCTGATTCGAAATGGAATTTATTTCCACTTCCATCAGCCCGTTACGACCAACACTCGAACCACGAACCAACAGTAACCAGTGCACCAGGACCAAAATTAAAAAGAACGTTTAACAAAAATGCAGCGGTAGGATCACCCACCTTGGACCTTACAAGTCCGGAAGCGACCCCAAGGACACCAAAAAACACACCACGGTCGGTGTGTTTGGCGCACCTTGGGCAGCGATGTCAAGGAGGCCTGGTGTCCTTTCGGGGACGTCTTGGCCTTCGCCTTTGAGGTGGGCGACCTCTCCCGGCTCTTGCGCGCGATCGCCTGACGGGTTCGGGCACGGGACCTGCGGTACCGAAGGCGACAGCGTGTGTTTCCGAGAAAGAATTGGGGAGAAGTAGGGAGAAGCATACCATGTGGAAACATATCATGTGTGAAGAAGCCCATTACAGTGATGATCATGCCTTTTGACCGCGCATTATAGTGACTTATAGTGTTAATGCACCACTAAAAAACAACATCCAGGATTGGTTTCATGCCTCGACTTCATGCCGTTCATCTCTTGTTCATCTCTCCCACATAGCAACAAACAAAGGCAAATTGGACAAGGGGAGAGTGCACCACACAAAATCAAGTGTGTGGCGTTTTCCTCACAAGCAGGATAGGTCAGTTAAGTTCAGTTCAGCTCTGTGAAGGCAACCAAGCAAGCTGCAAAGAAGTGACAACTTCCACCACTGAACTGGAAGCATACAAAAGATACTGGACACTATACTGGACCTATGCCCGTGGAAAAGCCCCAAGAAGATAAAGGCTCTATAAATACAGTATACCTGCAGACTCCAGAGTCTGCTAAATTTCTGCTTGTTCAGGGATTTCTACTTTTTCAGAGAGCCTACAATAATTTCTGCTTTCGAGCGTTTCTTTGTTTTCTGGCATTTTCATGCCAAAGAAGATCAAAGAAGAGAAGCGACCGGCTAGGACGGTTCAAACAGAGGCAAAGGTGGCTTCAAAGAGGAGTGGGCACCCCGGCGCCCATGGTGACTCAATTCAACACGCCTCTGAGCAAATGGCTTTAGAACATGAACTGTAGGTGTCACAAACCAAATAATTGGTTGGATCACAAAGTACCAGGAAGGCAAACCACACCCTGGATGGAGATCCCTGGATCATTCATTTTTTCTCTCTTCCATCGATCCGTGCATGGAGCCACTCGCAGAGATCTTGCTGCCTCAGAGGGTGGCCCCGGCATGGTTGAAAGGTTGGCAAGGCTGCCGCGTCCGTGTCACGGTGTTGGCTTGCGCTATTGAAGCCACATGGGTTTGTGTGAAGATGGGGTGTTCCCCAAAACCTTAACTGGATTGTAGACCATTATCAGGGTAGCCCATTTTCACAAAACCACACATTCTGACAACTCCAAAAGGCTTTTGGTGCTCAACGCTGTGGAGTTCAGAGTAGCCCGCAACATGGCGTTGGCGGAGGATTGGGAGTCCCGTGCTTGTTTGAGAGCTCGGGCCAGGGAGAATGGTGTTCTCACCATGTGGCCCAAGCCAAACCAAAAAGGGATTCCGACTGGACCTGCCTGTTCTTTGAACTCAGTGCCTTTGACGGCTTTGGCCAAGTGGTGGGTGGAGCGTTCAACCACACCCCGCACGGTGCCTATCGGCGACATGAGGGAACAGGCCCGGGTGTGAGAAAAACTTGGGGCCCCATTAGTGTTTGGCCACAAGCAAGTCTTTAGGCATCACTCCTTCCCAATCCGAATCCCCTGAGAGGTCATCGCATGGAGACAACTCAGCGCGCTCAATGAAGACAATGGGAGCGTCGCGTTGGACGCTTGGGGTCTCAAGAGGCTGTTTTCCCACTGCCTGCGTCGCTGGTTGAGTGGTTCAGTACGCCCCCGCGACACTCGGCTTGATTTTGCCGGGGCCAAATTGTCCCACCCCATTTCCTTTTATTCGGATTGATTTGGAGGGGTTAGCACTTAAGCGCCGCCTTTACCCCTGCCTTCGACGTTCTTTTTTGTGGACCTTTCCAAGATTTCCCCGCCCAACAGTTCAATCCTCTCTGGAATCGAAGGGAAAGGCATGATCTATCCCAAACCGTGCCATTTTACTCCCAGCTCAGGATCCAGCCATGCGCGACTTTTGGGAAGTCCTTGATGGCGCATGGGGCACACCTCAGGCTGCCAATGGTGGCCCTGCTCTCCAGGAGGAGGAGGATGGTGATGAGGGGGAGAATGGGGGTGACGACACGGACCACTATTCCGGTGCTGAAGCTGCTGCAGATGAGTACCCAGAAATCGATCATGTGATCCATGACTCCCAAGACATGGCATCCACTCAAACCATGCTGGACAGTGAAGGCTCTGAGGCTCCGGTGGACATTGAGATGTCTGAGCCTGACCATCTGCCTTGTGCAGCTGAGGCCGCCGCTCCGCCAGCCAATGCTGCAAAGTGCACAGGGCAGCCTGACAAGTCGCCCGTGTTTGGGGGCCCACACAGTCCGCCGGAAATAGGAACGCCAAGATCTCTGCTCTCAGGCGCAGGGCTATGAACTTGATGTATTCCAACTCAACCCCCCAAAACTGTTAGCCGCATGTTTATGAAGTTCAGGTTGGACCAGTGACAGGGTTGTCCGTCTGCCATCCCTTCAGGATGGCTTTGGAGAAGCGGGCTGCGGCCACCATGGCGCGTGGCAAATCCAGTAGCTAGTCTACTGTAGCTGGAGGTGTTGTTCCCCACCTGCCAGGTGAGGGTTAATTGTTAGATTTTATCACAGCTGTTCTTCCTCCGCCTCCGCCTCCGCCTCCGCCTCCGCCTCCGCCTCCGCCTCC